GGGGGAGTGGAGCAGGTGGCCCCCGGACCTTTGCTTGTGCCCCACTCCCCCCAGCCCCTGCTTCTGCCCCACTCCCTCCATTACCACTATTGCAGCCGCCCACACTGCCTTGCGTTTCAGGGGGCACGTGCCTCCCCTGATCTGTGTGCGGTGGAGGCGGATGCCATTGCAGGCTGGGCTTTGAGCTCTGAGCCCTGCTGCAGCTGGCCTGGGAGCAGCTCTATGCCACATGGGTCCCACTGCTGGGCTGAACCTTGTCCCCTGCCCACCCAGTGGTGGGCACATGTGATGTTGGGCTGCTCCTGGGTGGGATGCAGTGGGGTGCAAAGCCCAGCTTGCAACAGCAGCTGCCTCCACCGCGCACAGATGCAGGGTGGGGAGATGTCCCCCCCTGGGGCCTCCGCCACAGTGCGCACAGTGGCGTTAGCAACCTCCCCAACGGTGAGCTGCCCGGGCTCGATCTTCCCACTGCCCACCTGGCCAGGATCCCACTCACTTTACCCCTGCTCCTGTCTCTGTGGCACTCTGTCCCTCACTGCAGGGGTCCCCACCTGTTCCCTCCCCCCGTGGACTGACCTGCTGGGCTGGGAGTGGGGCATGCACATGCATGCCCCACCCCCAGCCTCAGATCAGCTCCAAGAGGCTCTGAGCTTTACGGGTTGGTGACCATGGATCTACTGCATCTAAGTCAGCAGCAGAGCAGTAAAAGGATAAGGGTCTAACCAGCAGCTGAACACAGATTTCCAGCTGGGGATCAGGAACACATCTTCCAAGTTTTACCCATATGATGGCTGTAGCTGCAGTCTGGAATGGGCTCCCAAGGGAGGTGGTGCTGTGCCCTACCCTGGGGGTCTTCAAGAGGAGGTTGGATATGCATCTAGCTGGGGTCATCTAGACCCAGCCCTCTTTCCTGCCTATGCAGGGGGTCGGACTCGATGATCTATTGAGGTCCCTTCCGACCCTAACATCTATGAATCTAAACAATAGGTACAGCTTCAAGTACATTGTTGGTGGAGCAACAATGTAGTTGAACAATGAGCAAGGCATGAAGTCTTGTACTGTCAAAGTTGTTCATCTGCCTAGGGAAGAAGCCTGGACCCTTCCACAAAGAACAGTCTTTCTACCCCAGCAAACCTGGGGCCCTTAGTATAGAAAGCACAAAACCTCATCTTATTTTAGTCTCTTGGCAGAAGACCAGCAGCTCATTCCCAGCAATTATAGTTTTTAATTCTGAATTGGAATGTTAAAAAAGTTTGATTGTTCATACACTGGTAGTTAATTTGCAAGGATGGAACAAAAC